AAAAAAAAAAAAAAAAGAAAAAAAGCAAAGAAGAACAAATACATTTCATCTAACAGGAAGCAATACTTTCGTTCCAGAACGATTGTCATTCGGAGTGGGTCGACTGGTTGGCTCACCAGCAACGAGGAGTCCCTCTCCATCGCACTCTCCCTGTCCAGACTCTCCTCCGTCGGATCGCCGGGACGGCGAGGTGGACGTGGACGTGGAAGAGGAGGAAGTCGACGTGGACGTTGAAGAGGTCGGTGACGAGGACGATCGCGATGCCACGTCGAGTCCACCGCGATCATCCACCACACCCTCTCCGACCAGCGTGGCGATATCGCCCACCTCGAATCCGCCGAAGAAATCCGGCGACACTTTCAGTGTTTCCGCTCTTCTCAGGCCGGACCCGCCGTCGGCCCACTTGCAAAACGCGTCTCCTCACCGAGACACGACGTCGATCGGTGCACACCCTCCTCCGCCAGGATCCTCGATGCTCTATCCACCGCTTCATCTCCAAGGTGGACTATTACCACCTCATCCTCATCATCCCCTCTCGTACCTGCATCCCCAACTGCTGCCTCATCATTTGTTACCTCCGCACTTGCACCCGCTGCTGCGTGGTGTTCACCCAGGTCATCCTGGCCTGCACTCGACCCACACCGCGCACGGGCTCCATCATCATCCGCTCGGGGACGTCTACAGCTGCGTCAAATGCGACAAGATGTTCAGCACGCCTCACGGACTCGAGGTAGGTTTACTCGGATGAGAAAAGCTTCTGCGAGGTAGCAATTTCTTGATGCATCGTTTAATGCCGCGGGGGGTGAAACGCGAGTCTCTCGAGTTTCAGGAATTAAATTTGCATGATTGTTTTGGAAAGATGCGCAGCAGCTATTACCAGATATTCGAGGTTACTTGAACATTACCTCGTGCGAGTTTATTGATTTCTTGAGAGAAAAGGGACGCTCTCTTTAGGAAAGTGTCGTGTCGATATTTTTGCAAAAATATATACACACGAGTGTCCATAGCGTATCCATAGCGTAGAAGATTTTAAAAGTGTTCCAACGCTTTTTTTTTTCTTTTTTTTTTCTTTTTTTATAGGTGCATGCAAGGAGATCGCACAATGGGAAGAGACCGTTTGCCTGCGAGCTGTGCAATAAAACGTTCGGTCATGAAATCAGCCTTACGCAACACAGAGCCGTGCATTCCGCGGAGAAGGTGTTCGAGTGCAAGCAGTGCGGCAAAGCGTTCAAGCGTTCCAGCACTTTAAGTACTCATCTTTTAATCCACTCGGACACGAGACCGTATCCCTGCCAGTTCTGTGGGAAGAGATTCCACCAGAAAAGCGACATGAAGAAGCACACCTACATTCATACCGGTGAGTGATAATTACTCTTCAAGTTCAAAACAAATACCGCAAGTTCTCAAATATACGATGAAATTGAAGTTTTCTCTGTTCGACATTGGTCAAGAAATCTTTGAATCTTTGTGTCTTTTGCAACAATTCGTACAGAATCGGGAACGCAAATTCCTCAAATTAAAATTTCATCGATCGAAGGATACGTTCGTAGCGTAAAAAGATTTCCATGGAATTTTGAAAATATTCAATGGTTGAATCCAACGAGCGAAATCGTGCTCGTTCACTTTTAATATCTGCAATCGCGTGCGCGAGGAATTCCTCGTTTCGGTCGATCGCAATGGGGATGCCAGGGATCAATTAACAGAGCAACTTCGTACGATAAATAATGCAGTTAACCGTCTGGACGGAGTCTTGTCGTAAGCAAGAGGATCCAGCCGGATCGAGGCACATGTGGCCAGTGCAGTTTTAGGGGTGGCGAGCCCCTCATTGCGAGCTTCACTCGGTAATAATCGTAATGTCTTTCGGGGTGCCCATCATTCTATCTTTCTCTTTGCTCTCACGATCTGGCCTGACACACTAGACCCCCAATCTTCGAATGAAATTTTTCTCCGACAAAAATCCTTCGTGGGAAACGCGAACAGATATATCCTTCTATCCTCCAGGAACAACGTTCCATTCTCGTATTTTTAAAGAAATTCCCAACTTTTCACCGAACCTTCTTACACTCCTATTTATCGAATTATATATTGTAAAACGTGCAAAATTTCATAAGCATTTTCACCATGTATCTGTTCCTTTGATCTGCGTTTCTTGAATATTTTATATAGAATGAAGAAAGGAACTCCTTTCGGCGACATTGCCAATGGATCGTTTTAACAAACTTTCTCTCCTTATATATTTCTCGTTTAATATAAATTTCCTATCTCCTGATTCTTCGAAGATAAAAAGTTCAAAGACTTCGTCAAACAGGGTCATTCAAGACCAATCGAGAATTTTTACATGCGGTGATCTTTTAACGTCGTGCCGGAGAAAACGTTTACCCTGTTCCCTTTCCGTGTTTGCCATCGACAGGTCGCGTCCCTGTCGAAAGTTGAAGACCAACCCATGCAAGGGAGCATCTCCTGGGTGATCGTAGGTGAGTGGTCGATGGTGTTGGGACACTTGGCACTTAGGTGTCTCACGGCTGATGGAGCGATGCTCCTTCAGGAGAGCGGTGGAAGCGAGTTGAAGGAACAGGCGAAGAAGCGTTCCAAGTCGGAGGGGGGCCTGGGTTTTGTATCGTCTCCATGGCAACTCTCTCGATGTCTTATCAAATTATCACCTTGTCCTCCCCCATGCTCCTCCTTCTCCACCTCCTTGTCGCTCTGACTGTCGTTCACCTCCCTCTCATTCACCCTCGTTTCGGCGAAACAGCCGAAGAAGCACTCGTCGAAAAGAGGATACAAAGCGATGGTCACTTCCTGCAGGTTTCTAACAACCTATGGGACCCGTTGTCTACGCGCTGGTCACCTTCACGCACTACATCCTCGAGGGTCGCCACGGAACATTTAATTCATTATTCAGAGGGATGAAAAATTCAAGGGAGGCCGAAAGAGAGCCCGCTGGCTCGACGCAATTTTCTTTTGTCATCCCCCATTCCCCCCTTTCTTCCTCTCTCGAGGAATACCAAATTCTTCCATAATTATCGAATAATTTCTTCGAATTATTTCCCAGGTAGATTCCCTTTGCAAATAACGTTGAACTCTTTGTGGTTTGATTTGTATTATACATTTGTGGATTCTTTCACTCTTCAATATATCTAAACGAGACAAAGAGAACGTTGGACATTTCATTTGACCTTGTAAACGTTTCTTTCTTTCCTCTTAGTTCAGTTAAAATCTTAAAGCATTCCCCCCGCCCCCTCCCCCGGGCACATCACCGCCGTGTTCAATCCGTAAAACGAAATCCCTCACCGACATGACCTCGAGGTGGCGTGCGTGCGTACGTGCGTCAAGCAGTAAACCGAGGGTGTTCTGGGACTCTGCTGCTAATGATAATCAGTCCTCTCTTTCCAGTAGCCCCTTTCGTCCCCCTCTTGTATTCCTCGTTGGTTGTGAGCACGCGGGCCATGTGCAATAAGGGTGCGGCACCGTCGGATTCCCAGGGGACCGGCATGGCGTAACGTAAAATCATTATTAGGTAGGTAGGTAGGTAGGTAGGTGGTTGCTGGTGCACACGAGGGGTGGCAAGAGAAACGCGGCAACTCGGTGGAGGCGCGTACGAGCGAGGCGAGCGGGGGCTGAAGCGGCGCTTACGGGGTTGGCAAGTGCGGGAATAAGAGCTCTGCAAATATTGTTCGTGCGCGAGCCAGCAGCCGGAATAGCTAGGCGAGGGGTCGAGCACGAGCGTTACTTCGCGTTAACCTTCGCTGTTGGCTGTGCCTTTTCGGCTACGTTCTGTAGCCTACCAGTCAGTCGAGTGTCCACGGTCCCCGAGGGGGGTGGCAGAAGGGGTTGACGAGCCGAACCGGTGACAGACCGACAAGTGGTCGCACACCGACCGCTTCCGATGAGAAAACATTCAACTTATCTATTTCTGATGAGCCGTGTGGCGCCCGGGAAAATATTGCTCTTCGAAGTTCGCGCCAAAGTCGACGATTTGAAAAAAAAAAAAAAAAAAAAAAAAAACTGAGACGCCCGCTGACGGGGAATCGAGTCGATTCTAGAATTTGATATTCGACAATCGACGGTTTTGTTCATTTTATTTTATTTTCTGACTGGATTTATTAGTGTCTGGATATTTTGATGGTAACGGTATAAGATATTGGTCAAATTAATAATTGGTAAAAACAAGCGCTGCCTTTTCTTCGTAGAATTCATTTTATTTAAAAAATATAGATATTTTGTAATTAATTGCACATTTCATTAAAAATTGAAATAATATCGGTGTCTTCGTTCAAAGTAGAACTCCATTTGTTTGATCTAAATTGCAATCAGTAGCCAATTAAATAAACTCTTGCTTGCTATAACAATAACAAATATAACAAACCATTGTAATAATATAAATAATCTCTTTGAACGTAAACTCGTATTGTAAGAAAGTCACCGGTGGGCAGATTATATAAATTCTTGTCCTCGACAAAGTCGTTTAGTCGTCGTCGACGAAGGTAACGCGACACAACTCTCGTTCGAATTTCAGCTTGTCTGTCTCTAATTTGTAACGGAGCTTTCTATTGCAATATAATACAATGAAACATTGAACAAATTGCTCGAGAAAATTTGATCAGTCACACCGGCATGAAGTTCACGAACGATGCTCGATGATTACACGAAAATGTTATCGATCAAAACGCGCGTCTTTCTAGCATCGGGACAATAAGGTTGCAGGGTGCATGCGCGCTTAAACACACATGCTTGTCACTACGATCGAACTAGCAACAGTGGACTGTTTTCACAATAAACAGAACCTGTCCACCGACGGTGCGAAGTCGATATAGGGATGAAGATCGGGCCGAGGGTTACCATACACCGTCTGTACACTTTTCGATCTCATCACGTAGACCTAGCCTATATAGGAGCTGGATGTTTATGCTCGCTGAGATGCCGCGCACTCCAGTTGCAAAGAGGCGGCCCTCGTTTTTCGAGGTTCAATCACGCTCGTCGTAAATCGTCGTCGATCCCCTCGTTCGCGATTTCCTCGGACGTTCGTACGGACGTTTCAACGTTTTACCTCGATCGATACGAGAGAGTGGATTTCGATCGGGCTTGTTTCTCGAGCAAACGGCGGGAATCAAGATTTAATTCCCTTCTGTTGGTATTGGAAATACGATTAATAGAAATAGAAATTGCGAGGATTTTTTTTTTTTATTTTCATCTGCCTCGAAACTTCAATCTCTACGGAAATGTTTCTGTCATACACTACACGCAACAGCAAAGTATCTTCCCAAAAATAAAGAAACCAATATTTTCCAACGTCTCTCTCCATTCTGGCGGACTTTGTCCAAGAGACATTCTTTCGGAATAAATTGAAGACGATGATAATTCCTGGTCAACGGAGATAAACGAGCGATTCACGAGCGTACGCGGAGAGTTTTCGAGTTTGCGGTCGGAGGGACGGAGTCGGTAACTAAACGGGACAACTCTATAAACATGAAAGAGATACGAACACGTTTCGCCGTCGGTATTATGAATTTAGCGGTGGCTCTAATGTAGGGATACCTGGCCGAACGTCTCCCTCAAACTCACCTCGAGGGTGCGGTTATCGTATACCCGGCGAGATACAAGGCGTGCAACCTACCTACAGCCACCTTTGTGGCCACCGTTCGCCATACACTGCCTCCGCGCGGCTCTATCTTCGTCCGTTCCACGCGATTTCGCCCCTCTCCTTTCTATGTAGACGAGACAGGGCTATTAGAGGTTTCCGGCTGACTTGGCGCCCCAACAGCATCGGGGGCGCCGCAACATCCCTCTAAGCTGTTTAAACTTCGCGACATGCTCCGGAGGACCGATGCTCTGGCCCCGCGCCTTTCGCTCCACCTTCCTCGTCTTTCGCCCCCGTTTTCGCCTTTACGGCTCGTTAGCGACCACCGCCTATCCCCCTGCCCCTTCATCGACGTGAAATAATAGTTCACGTGTGGTCCTTGCATTTTTGCATAACTCTCCACGAAGTTATCAGGGATAAATGTAATTAAATTTCTGCTGTTAGTTGAGTTGAAAAATATTTGCGATTCATTTAGTTATTAATCGTTGTAGTTCGTATATTTAAAGTAGTAAGTGAAAATTTCCGCGAATGAATAGAAATTCAGCAGTTGAGGAATCAGTGTGTTGAGATCAATTGGAGAACAAAGTCTACTTGTGTGTACAAGAGGATTCTGCCTCGAAAAGTCAAAATCCACAGCGTATTCAGTCAGGAAGAAAGAGAATTCAGAGTTAACAGTAGACGCTTCGCGATTGATCGTCGAACGAGTGTTAAGAAAATTGACGCGCAAGACGGGAGATCTGTCAGCAACGATGGCTCTCCAGACGCCAGGGGTGAAAACTACCCTGGCAAGGGGTGTAAATAGCTGGAGACTTGGCGTGTTCGTTAGACTACGCGGCGTTACATTTAATGTCACGGCGGCATAAGCAACCGATACCGCATTAAACATGCAAATTCGCACGGTATAACGTTCCATGGATCCAAGGCATCATCCATGTAGCGGCGAGTGGCGCATAGTGG